TGTTGGCCATTCTGGGACTCCCAACAAGGACTCTGACTTCTAGAAATTCCAAGGCCTACAGCTCGTTAGAGATTATTCCCAGTGGTGGTCATGGCAGAGTGGTCCTGTGCTGGTAGCCCCATAGGAGGGGTTTTCACCAGACTGTTCCAGTCTGTGCTAGTCCCGTGGCATATGAAGATGACTCTCCAAATTTTTTTATAGTGTTTACTGCACCACTGAGCTCCAAACTTGTTCAGCTGCTTGCTTGATAATTCCACTTACACATGTCATACATAGGCATCTCAGATATTACTTCACCTAAACAAAAACTTTTCATCTTTTTTACAAAACTTTTTACTTCCTGGCAGAGCCGAGGTTGGGAGAAGAATGGAGCATCTGAGCAGCACCTCCAGCCTCCTCTCTTCTCCCCGCACCTCACTCTCACGACCTACCTGCCTGCCGCCTACTTGTCCCCCAAAACATCTTCCACCTCAGAGAGTTCCCACTTGAACAAAGGCATCAAGGAGGTGTACACGTCCCTGCCTCAGGGTGATATGTATGTCGGACTGATGATACTGGAGAAGGCCTGCGATGCAAGACCTTGGACAGTGAGCCCAAGTGTATAGAAGAGTTGCTGGCGTAGAATTTTTTTTAAAGTATATTTTACTGATTTTTTAGAGAGAGGGATAGAGAGTTAGAAACATCGATCAGCTGCCTCCTGCACACCCCCTACTGGGGATGTGCCTGCAACCAAGGTACATGCCCTTGACTGGAATCGAACCTGGGACCCTTCAGTCCGCAGGCCGACGCTCTATCCACTGAGCCAAACTGGTCAGGGTGCCCGAGTAGAATTTTGATGGCTCTAGTACTTTACAGTCTGAGGACTCCAACAGTGATATGTATCTTGTCCCTGCTGCCATGTTTCAGGACCCTTTCCACAAGGATCCCAACAAGCTGGTGTTCTGTGAAGTCTTCAAGTACAAATGAAAGCCTGCAGAGACCAATTTAAGGCATAACTGTAAAGGGATAATTGACATAGTGAGTAATCAGCACTCCTGGTTTGGAATGAAGCAGGAATATACCCCTTTGGTTGACTTTCCAATGGCTTCCTTGGGCCCCAAGGGCCATACTACTGTGGCGTGGGAGCAGACAGAGCCTATGGCAGGGATATTGTGGAGGTTCACTACCCAGCCTGCTCATGAGCTGGCATCAAGACCAAGGGGCCAAACGCTGAGGTCATGCCCACCCAGTGGGAATTCCAGATAGGACTCTGTGATGGAATCTTGCACTAAGAGTGTGAAGATTTGGAGTGATAGCAACTTTTTAAAAAAATATATTTTATTGATTTTTTACAGAAAGGAAGGGAGAAGGATAGAGAGTTAGAAACATCGATGAGAGAGAAACATCTATCAGCTGCCTCCTGCACACCTCCCACTGGGGATGTGCCCGCAACCCAGGTACATGCCCTTGATTGGAATCGAACCTGGGACGCTTGAGTCCGAAGGCCGACGCTCTATCCACTGAGCCAAACGGGGCTGGAGTGATAACAACCTTTGATCCTAAGCCCATTCCTGGGAACTGGAATGGTGTGGACAGTCACACCAACTTCAGCACCACGGTCATGCGAGAGGAAAACGGTCTGAAGTACATTGAGGAGTCCTTCCAGAGGCTGAGCAAGCAACACCAGTACCTCCTCGGAGCCTATGATCCCAAGGGGGGCGAGACAATGCCTGGAACCTAAGAGGATTCAAGGAAACCTCCAACATCAACTGATTTTTTGCTGGTGTGGCCCACTGTAGCACTAGCATCCGCATTCCCCGGGCTGTGGGCCAGGAGGAGAAGGGTTACTTTGAAGTCAGGCACCCCTTTCTGGGGTGACAGAAGCCCTCATCTGCATGGGTCTTCTCAACGAAACTGGTGATGAGCCCTTCCAGTACAAAGACGAAATGGACTAGACTTGCAGCCATCGAACCCCTTCTAATTAATTCTTCATCCCGCTCCCACTCTTGCCTCCCTCTCAATTGTTATAATAGTTGTAACTCAAAGGGTGGAATATCAAGGCCTTTTTTTTTTAAGGCCTTTTTTTATTCTTCGTGAAAACAAAAGCAAAAGCTTTTTACTTCCTAAGTCTTTCTTATCTTAGCAAATGGCACCACCATCCATCCAGTTGCTCAAATAAAAAACCTATGAGACAGGCCTGATTTCTCTTTTCCTCTTAATGCTCATATCCAATTGAACGACAGTCCTGTTGACTTTTCAGTGTCTTCACTTAAGGTTGTCTGTAGGTTCTGCAACTTTAAGCAAAATGACCTGTAATGAAAACGATTTTACCATAGGCTAATTTATATAAACAAGAGTTAAGTTCCCAGGGCATGTCATTAACATAATGAAACGATGTTGAACAAAATAAAGTTAATTGAGGACCTGCTGTGTACCCTAATCTGATTCCAAGTGTACTAGCACCTGGACTTTTGCAATAACTTCTGTGGTAGCGCCCCCCTGCCAATGTCTATTGTTCTGATACCCAGAACTTGTGAATATGTTACCTTAACATGTTTAAAGGATTTTGCAGACGTGATTAAATGAAGGATATTGAGATAGGGTGGTTATTCTAGATCGTCCAGGTGTGCCCAATGGAACCATAAGGTCCTTATAAGAGGGAGACAGGAGGATCAGTCAGTAGGAGGAGATGTGATAATCAAACCAAGAGGTTGAAAGATGTAAGGAAGAGGCCACGAGTCAAGGAATACAGGTGACTTCTAGAAGGGCAAGAAAACAGATTTCCCCTGAAGCTTCCAGGTGGAATGCAGCCCTACAGACACATTGATATGAGAAGCCTGACCTCCAGATCTGGAAAAGAATAAATTCACCCTGGCCAGTGTTGCTCAGTGGTTGGAGCATCGGCCCACCCACCAAAGGGTTGAGGGTTCGATTCCTAGTTCAGGGCACGTACCTGGGTTGCGAGAGGCAACCAGTTGATGTGTCTCTCTCACAAAGATGTTTCTCTCTCTCTCTCTTCCTCTCTCCCTCTGTCCCTCTTCCTATTTCTCTCCCTCTCCCCTTCCCTCAGTCCCTTCCAGTCTCTCCAGGAGCAATGGAGAAAACAGCCTCTGGTGAGGATTAACAAAAAGAAAAAGAAAAAAAGAAAAAGAAAAGAAAAGAAAAGAATAAATTCATGTTGTTTTAAGCCACTAAGTTTGTGGTAAAGGAAGCTAATACAATCCTCTAGTGCAGCGGTTCTCAACCTGTGGGTCGCGACCCCTTTGGCGGTCGAACGACGCTTTCACAGGGGTCGCCTAAGACCATCGGAAAACATATATAACTACATATTGTTTTTGTGATTAATCACTATGCTTTAATTATGTTCAATTTGTAACTGCAAATACATCCCGCATGTCAGATATTTACATTACGATTCATAACAGTAGCAAAATTACAGTTATGAAGTAGCAACGAAAATAATTTTATGGTTGGTGGTCACCACAACATGAGGAACTGTATTAAAGGGTCGCGGCATTAGGAAGGTTGAGAACCACTGCTCTAGTGGGACTCCCTGTTTCCTGCCTTGACTCTCTGCTGACATTCTCCACGCCACAGAAAGGGAGATCTTTTAAAAATGTAAGTTAGATGGTCACTATCCTGTTTAAAGCTTAACAAGAAACTTCTCTTTGTATCTGGAACAAAATCCAAACTTACCATGGCCATAGGCCCTATACGACTACCTCTCCAAGCTCTCCACACTCCTTCACTCTCCTTCCGAACGCCTCTCCATTCCCACCCCACCCCAGCCTTGTGGAAACAGGGCGACCTGCTTCCCTTTGGGGACCTTTGTCCACTGCCCGTTGTCTGAGACCTTCTGTCCCCATTCCGCTCAGTTCCCGGGGATTTCCCTGACCCAACCTAAGGAGTGCCCTCTGATTCTTGTCTGTCACTCTGTTGACTTGTCTCCACAGCGCTTACCATTATCTGAAGCTGTACTTCTGGTTTTATAGTGTGTTTCTTCACTACTCTTTTAATCCAAGCTCCAGGAAGCGGGGAATTTAGCTTGTCATGTTCTGTTGTATCCCTAACTCCTACCGCAGTGCCGAGCACAGGCTGACGAGGCTCAGCGAAAACCCACCGCACGTTGAGTGCTGACTTCAAGCCAAGGGCCTAGGGCTCAGGTTGGCTCCTGGCATCGCAGGGCCTCCGACGCGGGTCTCTTGATCGAATCCAGAGTTAAAACCAAGGCCGGGCTCCAGTCCTTCTTGCTGGAGGTCCTTCAGGGCCACCCGGCCTGGTCGGAGAAGAGGGAGAGTTCAGAGACCTGCCATGGCAATTTAGAATGATAATGATAATGAAAATAACAGTAACAGCCAACATTTATCCAGAACGTTCTCTGTGCCAGGCACTGTTCTAGGTATTTAATAGAAAATCATTTATTCTTCACAACCAGTGAAGTGGACACTATTATTATCCTTATGGCAGCGGTTCTCAACCTGTGGGTTGCAACCCCTTTGGGGGTCGAACGACCCTTTCACAGAGGTCGCCTAAGACCATCGGAAAACACATATATAATTACATATTGTTTTTGTGATTAATCACTATGCTTTAATTATGTCCAATTTGTAACAATGAAAATACATCCTTATCAGACAAGTGTCTGATATCCTGCATATCAGATATTTACATTACGATTCATAACAGTAGCAAAATTACAGTTATGAAGTAGCAACGAAAATAATTTTATGGTTGGGGGTCACCACAACATGAGGAACTGTGTTAAAGGGTCGCGGCATTAGGGAGGTTGAGAACCACTGCCTTATGGTAAGGATGGGGAAACCGAGGCACTGCCCTGTTAGGTAGAAACTGTAGGTTTCTATCAAGTCTTTCTTTCGCGCTCCCCCTCCCTCGGCTCTAACTGGGGAGAGCGGATTTCTCGCCAGTGAATCCCCGGCGGCCCAAAGGCGCGGGGCTGGACGGGGGCGCCCCAGAGCGCAGGCGCGGGCAGCAGGGGCGGGGAGAGGGCGGAGGCAGGGATTGGTGGGATAGAGTTGCCATCGAAAAGCGGAAGTCCCCACCCAGCCTGGCAGGAACTTCCGGCTGCGATTGCTCGGGTCTTCTGTAGCCTGAGTGGGGCCGCGGAGCCGAGATGGTTCTGCTGGAGAGTGAGCAGGTGAGTGGGGGCTGGCGCGCCGGGGAGGGTGCGGTCGGGCTTAGCTCGGGCCGCCGTCTGCTCGGCGGGTGGGAGTGGGCGTGACGCGGCGGGACCTGCGGCTGCCCGACGGGGCCTGGTGTGTTGTGTTGCAGTTCCTGACGGAGCTGACCAGGCTCTTCCAGAAGTGCCGGCTGTCGGGCAGCGTGTTCATCACCCTCAAGAAGTGTAAGCAGCCGGCCCCGCGGCCGGGAGGGGGCGGGGAGGCCGCGTGCCCAGCCCGGTGCCCGGTGTCGGGGAACCCGAGTCAGCCCCCGACGCATTCCCGCCTTCCCTTCCTCCCCTCCTCCGCGTACTGGGCACCTTCAGGGCAGAGGGACCGACGCCTATCAGCGCTTAGCAGCGTAAGCCGGTCCCGGTTACCGTGGGGCCCGCCGCCATGGCTCTCCTCCTTGTCGGGGTCCCAAACCCCACCGCGGAGAGTGGAGATAGCAAGTCGCTTTCCAGGTTTGGGCCAAACCTGAGCTGGTGGCGGATCCGGTGGTCAGCAGAGCTAGAGCAGTGCGGGTGGAGGAGGGGTCCTCTGTTCCTCCCCCGCCTGTTAGCTCTTTGCCGGCCTCTTCAACGCCTGTGGCTGTGGTCACCAGGGTGCGTTTTCCTTGCAGACGATGGCCGAACTAAACCCATTCCGAGGAAGGGCTCAGTGGAGGGCTTCGAGCCCTCAGACAACAAGTGTCTGTTAAGAGCAACTGATGGGAAAAAGAAGATTAGCACAGTGGTGAGTTGGGTTCCTAACACTGCAGTTTTGGAGTTTAAAGACTTAACTGTGCAGGTGGCATATCTGAACCAGGTTTTGTTTTTGTTTAATTTTTAAAGGAAACATTTATTTTTCATTGATTTCAGAGAGGAAGGGAGAGGGAGAGGGAGAGAAACATCAGTGATGAGAGAGACTCATTGATCGTCTGCCTCCTGTACGCCCCCTTCTGGGGATCGGGACCGCAACCCCGGGCATGTGCCCTTGACTGGAATCGAACCCAGGACCCTTCTGTCCGCAGGCCGACGCTGTATCCACTGAGCCAAACCGGCTAGGGCTATTTTATTTTTTAAAGAATAGTTTATTGATTTTTACAGAGGAAGGGAGAAGAGAGAAACATTGGAGGGAGAACGCAACATTGAAAGGCTGCCTCCAGCACAACCCCTACTCGGGATGAGCCTGCGCACTAGACATTGCCCAACCGAGCTACACCGTCCAGGGCTTGTTTTTGTTTTAAATGAAGGGAAGGGTAGTTATTGTGTAGCGCCCCAGCTGTTTTGGGATCTGCATTTTTTTTTTCTCTTTTTAAAAATCCTCACCCGACGATATGTTTTTATTGATTTGAGAGAGGGAGGGAGAAACATCGATCAGTTACCTCCCATTCGTGTCCCGACGGGGGGATCAAACCTGCAACCTAGGTATGTGCCCTGACTGGGAATCAAACCCATAACCTTTTGGTGTATAGGATGACACTCCAACCAACTGAGCCACCTGGCCAGGGTGCGATCAGGGCTTTCTTTTATTACCTTTGTAATAGAAAACTCAAGAGCAAAATTAAAATGAAGGTGGAGTCAAACACTTGTTCTGCTGAAAGTTTTGTAGAAATAAAATTAGCATATTGGTCCTTACTCATAGTAGCATTGTAAGGAGCAGTGAATATATGATTACTTATGCCCTTAGCTTACTGTGCTGGGCTTTCCATGACCAACTTCTTCTCACCAGATGATGCTTTTAAGCTAATTATTCCTTTTCTTTGTGGTTCACAGAGTAAGCATGTAGCTATATGTAGACTTGGTACTTGAGAGAGTATAAATTTAGTCCAGAGCGCTAGTGTTCCCTTTCAAGGTGGAGGTTGAATATGGCTTGAAAGGGAACAGTAGCGCTCCGGACTAAATTTATACTCTCTCAAGTACCAAGAGACTCCCTGGGTTCTGAATGAATACAGACATACCGCTTTTATTATGCGTTGCTTTATTATGCTGCCAGTTGTTGCGCTTATTACAAATTAAGGCAAGGCCCTCCACCAGCAAAAAGGCTGTGACTTGCTTTGTTGTGATGGTCTGGAACCAAACTCACAATGTTTGAGATATGCCTGTACTTCTTTATTCTGCTGGGGCAGAACCAGACTGCCCTCCCTTTCCAGTCACATCAGTACAGGATATTCGTGAACTTGAAGATCATAATTAGTTGGTGCCCCCCTTTACCAGTTATCTCGAGGACATTTACAGTAAAGCTATGGGGTTTTAAAAAATAAAGTTGGGTATCACAAAATAAGAAAACCCAAAGAATTTTTAGAGGTAGGATTTCTTGTGGTAGCTTGCATTTTGCTTAAATAGGCTTGAATTAAAGGAAGATAGGTTTAAAATAAGATGGGGAGTAGTTTAAATGAATCCTGCAGAAAAGAATAGTACTTAGTCCTTTGACATCTCAGCACCCAGGGAGAAAAGTCGATGCCATGTGTGTAAGAGATTTCAATAGAGGTGAGAAGCACAGCTTCTTTAAGAACATAATTCTGCCTCTTTCCCATCTTGGCACAAGTCTCATGTGGAAAAAAGCCCAAACTTTGCTGCTTCCCAGGTAGAGGAGAGTGAATTAGGAAAATAGCCTTTAGTGTATCATGACCTCTGAGATTGAGAAGGAATATTTTAGCGATTAGGATGCTGTCTTCATGAGGCTTTTTTTTTTTTTTAAATATATTTTATTGATTTTTTTACAGAGAGGAAGGGAGAGAGATAGATAGTTAGAAACATCGATGAGAGAGAAACATCGATCAGCTGCTTCTTGCACATCTCCTACTGGGGATGTGCCCGCAACCCAGGTACATGCCCTTGACCGGAATTGAACCTGGGACCTTTCAGTCCGTAGGCCGACGCTCTATCCACTGAGCCAAACCGGTTTCGGCTTCATGAGGCTTTTGAGTTCTTATCTAGGGTGAGGCAGGGGGTTACTGTATGGATACTAGGGGTGACCATTTTCCCCTTCTCTTTTCCAGGTGAGCTCCAAAGAAGTGAATAAGTTTCAGATGGTGAGTTTCTGCTGTTATGTCCCTTTCTCAGGGCAAGCCAGCATAACATTGAACACTGGGTGAGCATTGATATTTAGGTTCACCGCTCTCCTATGATATGTTACCAGTAGTTTATGATTAAGAGCTGCCGGGCTATGAATTTTACTTTCAACACTGATACTGTCTTCCTTTTAAGTTTTTATAAGCTAGATTTTGCCATCTTAGGCTTCAGATATGCTCTGCCTATAGTAAAGTTGAACAAGAAGTTGCCTATGTTTATCTGTTTTTGCTTAAAAAAAAAAATGCAACTCACAGTGGATGAGCATTGCAGAAGCTGCTAAAATGTGAGTGTTTTCCTCTTACACCACTTTCCTTCAGGTACAAGTGTCCCATGGTATTATTTATCAGGTAGACTTTCTGATTTGGCCACACTAAAGCCATTATGGAAACAGGGCAGCTGCCCCACCAATTTGTAACTCTTCCCACTAAGGTCGTGCTCCGTGTCTTTTAGGCTTATTCAAACCTGCTGAGAGCAAACATGGATGGGCTGAAGAAGAGGGACAAAAAGAGCAAGAGTAAGAAGAGCAAAGCAGCACAGTGAAGGGCTCCAGATTCCCTGCTTTCACCAACTAACCGCCAAATTGCTATTTTTCCTTCGGTTTTTACTTTTGGCCACAAAACTAGGTTTCTGGTTCCCCTACATTAACTGTTTTCATGTGAGATTATGTTCGTTTTGGACGGAAGAAGAGCTGTGATGTTTACAGGGTAGTTATAAGAAGCCAGTTTATTTTAGATCTGGCTAATTGGTCTATGTTGCCTACTTGTGTATTCCTGGATTTTAGTTATAGAATCTGCAGGCATCTGTGCGAAGAACAATGCATCATTAAACCTGTCTATTTATCAGCACTGACTATCTCTTATTTATTCTTTTTCTCTCCCCATATTAATAATTCCTGGCAGTAAGTACTGATTCTGGGATGATGTAATTATGAATAGCCTTTAGCCCTATTTTCTAGGTTATTGGTATTGAAACCTGAAAATTTTATTAAAAGTTGTGTTAGCTCATGGGTATTCTTCCCAACTGGCTATATAAATTTTTTTTTTTTAAGAATAGTTTATTGATTTTTCAGAGAGGAAGGGAAAGGGAGAGAACCATCGAAGAGAGTGCAACATGGATTGGCTGCCTCCTGCATGCCCCCTACCAGGGATGGAGCTCACAACCTGAGCATATGCTCTTGACTGGGTATGAAACCCAAGATCCTTTGGTGCGTAGGTGGATGCTAACCATTATGCAACACCAGCCACGGCCAGGCTATGTAATTTTATCATAGTTCCTTTAGCAAATTTGAATGAATTCTCATAGTCAAATTAGAGTTTGCTTAATCACCTTAGGATAAGCATATTACAAAATTAATACTAAAGATTACAAGTTAATGATGATATTTGACTTCTTTATGCCCTTCAGTTTGGACATTTTCATGAGTTAGTCATTAGAGCTAAGGGAAGAACAAGGCTGTTTTCCTGTCTTCTAGCTCCACAAAACCTTTCATGTCAATAGATTTGCAATTAAAAAGGAAATATATGAAAGCATTTATTATATTGCAAAAGATAAATTTATATATATATATATATTACAAATGAAAAACTTATAAAGCTCCACTTTGCGTGACAGCTTCTTAGAATGTAAAGTTAATTTAAAATTACAATGAATGTACAACATTTTACAGCTCCTGGTCTGAACAATGTAATGACTGTTCTCTAGGATTAAAATAAGATTCTGTAGTAGTCATCTCTGTAGCTATACAGGAATAGCACGGACACCCTGCAAAAGAAGGGAAAAAGGAGGATCAGTATAATGGATAGAGAACAGGGTTAGTAAAAATTTATTTTTAGAGCACCTAACTGTAGGAGTTTTGTTCAATTAAAAACAAGATGGAAGGCTAGGCACTAAAACACTGCACAAGTTTTACAAAAGCTGTGACTGGTAAGGGTCTGCAGTATAAGGTCCTACACAAGGAGACCACCATTCGCTTCACAGGCTTTGTCATTGCCTTTTAAACGGAAGAGAATGTGAACAGCTGGCTTCTGACATGAGGACATAAAGCAAAGTAGTCACAGCTGTTTTCTATTTAAACACTAGAGGCCCTGTGCACAGATTTGTGCATGGGTGGGGTCCCTCAGCCTGGCCTGCACCTTCTCGAAATCTGGGACCCCTAAGGGGTGTAGCAGTGTTGAAGCAGCAGGCGGCTGGGGAGAAGCCCCAGCCGGGGTCAGGCGCAGCTCATCTCGGCCCTGCTGCGCCTACTGCCACCATTGCTGCTGGTGCTGCTGCTGCTGCTGCTGCTGCTGCTGCTCAGTAGTGCCGCCGTGCAGGAGAGGCTACCACTGCTGCAGCTGCGCTTGCCAGCCGTGAGCCCGGTTTCTGGCTGAGCAGTGCTCCTGCTGTGGGAGTGCACTGACCACCAGGGAGCAGCTCCTGCATTGAGCATCTGCCCCCTGGTGGTCAGTGCGCATCATAGCGACCCATCAACCAGTCATTCTGGTCGTTTTGTCGTAAAGGTTGTTTAGGCTTTTATATATATAGATAGTTCTAGGAGTTACCTGGGTGATTAAAATTTACAATTGGGATAGTTACTTCTGAGACCTCGGTTTTGTGGTTGACAAGATCATGACTGTGGTTCAGTCCTGAGTTGCAGTTCTAACATAACAGCTTATCAGCCATCAAACCTCTAGACAATAAACTATGTCACTTAAAAACCCCTCCTCGAGTTTTAACCCATTTTGAAATCTGCGGTGCCTAAGTGATAACTTACTTTTTTCCTACTTTGATGTTATAAATTTCATCACAGACTACTTTCAGGTATCTTTGCTTTGGCAGGCGTGACAGCAGCTGCTTCACAGTTGTGTTAAATGCCTGTTCATCAGCATCCCACTAGAAAAAATAAGTGAGACTTAACAGCAGGTACTAGGGTTTATTAAGTGGCATTTTTCTGGGTCACTAATGAAAGTCCAATGCCATTCCCCCCTTTAATTATACTGAAGAAATCATTATAGGGCGATACTAGAACTGCTGGGCAAACTGCTGGGGTTCCTCCTTGAAGCATCAGTTTTCTTTACAGCAGATCACCTTATTAGATCTGGTTAACAATACAGCAGCACCGTGTGTGCTGATCTGACTTTAGACCAGTTATTTCTGCCTATTGTCTATTTTTTGTAACATGGACATACCACCTCTGATGTGCATCCATCTGAATGGACCATGAGATAATACACTGCCAGTGTAGTGGTATATGCTTACTTATAATACAACAACAGGAAATACAGTAGGAAGCATTAGTTTTGGGGCAAAGTTCATTTTTCATCTGATTTAATCTGGATAGACAAAGTTTTGTTTTTTTTAAAAATATATTTTATTGATTTTTTATAGAGAGGAAGGAAGAGGGATAGAGAGTTAGAAACATCGATCAGTTGCCTCCTGCACACTCCCTACTGGGGATGTGCCCGCAACTAAGGTACATGCCCTTGGCCGGAATTGAACCTGGGACCCTTGAGTCCACAGGCTGACGCTCTATCTACTGAGCCAAACCGGTTAGGGCTAGACAAAGTATTCTTTGATATGATGTTACAAAAATCACCTATAGCTATGATTATAGTTAAGCATTCTTAATAGCAAAGGTTTAACTATTCAAAATTGAACAAGTTATTTGGTTATTTGATAATTAGGGTATGTACTTGGGGGGGGGGGATATAAAAAAGTACCTAAATTAAATTTTTAGATCTTCCATACACTTCTAGTTCTATAAATGAGCTTCCCTAGTTGGAATGAAGGTATGACATGTATACTAGCAGTGGTTAAGAACACTGATTCCACTACTTTACCTAGGTTCAAATACTGGCTCTACTACTTACTAGTTGGGTGACCTCGAGTAAGATATTTAACCTCTCTACTTCTGTTCCCTATAAAATGGTGATAACAATAGTACCTCTCTCTTGGGTTTGTTATGATTAAATGAGTTTAAGATTTGTAAATTGCTTAGGACAAGACCTGCCAGAGCCTGACACTCAATAAAAGCACTAGTTATTTGTTAAATAATCTCTGAAATTTAAAAGTCACCAGAAAAGTATGATTCTTTTAAAATCTGATTTAGTAATATATATGTCACATAAAGGAACAAGTTTCCAAATTCCTGGAACTGACAAAAAATACCTAACATCACTAAGAAAATACCATTTTCAGTGGTTTTGTTTTTGTTTTTGTTTTTGGCAAAGCTTTGGGATTTTAAAAACCACAATGCAGAAGAGTTCGTTTTGCTTACCTCTAATGATAAACACTGTAAGATTGTTTCTTTGGGTAGATCCACCTGTCAATACACAAAAATGTACATCATCTGTCAGAGAACCCCTGGCAGCACATACTGACGTGTGATGATGGTGCCACTGTGGATGGAGCAACATGAAAGTGGCTGGCAGAGTCCGGGATGCTATTGTGCTATAGAGCAGACTTAATGAACCATGCACGACAAGATCTCAGCCCTGGTGAACTGATACTCCTAGTTCCCACACACTGCACTCACTCCAGAGGTGTGACACTGCTACCCTCACTCAGTGTAGGCTTAGTGAGGCAAAGGCCTGAAACATTTAGAAAAATGATTTTCATTTTCATTTCAGAGGAAGGAAGTAGGAGAAACAAACACAAAACCTTCAATTGTTCTCCCCAGTTCTTTAGATTACACGAGATTTACATCAGTGATAACAAGCTTGTACCCCAATACTGCTGACACTGAGCAAAAAAGCCCTGGCCTCTGAGGAAACTACTTTGACAGCATGGACAGACGCCATCCTCAAAAGGTTAAAGAAAGTAACTTACAGCCAAAATTTCAATTTCACTGCTTTTCTGATGTAAGTTGGCAAGGGAGGTCTGAAGTCGGGTTTGTACCTAAAAGAAAACATGTCAGAATTCAGAACCTGTCAAACCAAGCCATCTTTCTTGCCATTCTATGTCCTATTCCAGGAAACGATCACAGGTGACAAACCAAGGCCTAGAATTTGCACTTAATCCACCTCAGGAAGATGTATGTGTATCCCATTATGATATCGGGAAATGAGATTTTGTAGCCTATCTATAATTTGTTTAATAAACCCACCTAAGTTGCTTATTTCTTTATAATTTTGAGATGACACCTAGTAAAAAGCTCAGTGTGGTGAAACTCATGTGGAAGCAGGGAGATTTGAGTATTAAGCTAAATTTGGAAAAAGGGGAAGGTGGTAGCAACGAGAACATGAAACTGAAATACGGTAGAAAGATGTGAAAAATTGGTTTCCACCCAACATCCTGAGAAATAGCCAGGAGAGCTTACAAAAATAAGGTAACCTGATCTTCTGTATTTCAATCTAATTACATTTCTAAAAAATGACTGCTCTCCAACACTCACTTCTTCCCAAGTGAGGCCGGCGTCCTGACCGTGCTCATTAGCACTGTCCATGACGCCTTTCCTTCCGTCCCTCCCAATTGGAAAACCCTAACCTGTTCTCCCTGCCCCTTTCAATCCCTCAGGGACCATCTCTGAAGCAAACACTGACCTCTGTCTCTCCCGTGTGTCTGTAATATACTCTAACACTCATATTAAATACTAGAGGCCCGATGCACAAAATTCGTGCAGGAGTAGGCCTTTGCAGCCGTGGCGGCTGCCTGGATCCCTCCCTCGTAGCCATGGCGGCTGCCTTGATCACAGGCTGCAGCCCTGACTTCGTCCGGAAGGACGTCCGGTCTAATTAGCATATTATGCTTTTATTATTATAGATATTTAATTCAGCATTCTGTTACTTATTCACATGTATTGTTCTCCAAGCATAAAATGCATATGCTTCTAAGGTTACAAACTCTTTGAGGAGTGGGGCCAGTCCTATGTCTTTTATTTTACATGGCACTTAGCACAGAGTCAGGCAGATAATAGATACCAAAATATATGTAAAGATATTTTTGCCTCAAGTCTTGGGATAGATCTCTTCTGCTTTGTTATTTAAAGCAAAAACAAACTCCATTTAGGCAGCCAATCAATGATTCTCTCTCATCATTGATGTTTTATCTATCTCCTTTCCTCTCTGAAATAAAAATATATTTAAAAAAACAACAACAAAAAACCCCCCATTAGAGCCAGATGAGAAAGCTTTTGTGTAGATCCAATAATTCTGACAGCTGCTTCTAGGGCCCACAGTCCACACTGACGCCTCTTTGGAGGACGGATGTGGCAAAATCTTGATGCCAGAGAGATGATTGTGTTGATGCAACTTTCAGAAGCCACCAAGTTAGGGAAGTGGGAAGGAAAATATTTCCAGAACACTCTCATTCTCCTTTCCTGTTTCCTTCCTTTGTAGCTCACCTTCGACAGCCTTGGACACTAACGCACCTGAGTCTCATATCGCCGCTTAGTGCTGGCTGACAGCTTCTCCGGGGCTATCACAGTCACAGTGGGGACAACGGCTGCTCCATGGATTTCAAACAGACCTGAAACAGAGAGAGCTTCACAATCAGGCCTTCTCTGGTCCTATGTTCTCTAACACCGAGAGGACGGAGAATATTAATAGGATCCCTCTGGGGTGACTCAATGGAGCCAGATGATGTCTGGGCCTTGTTTTCTGTCTCTGCAACTGCCTGCAATTGCCCAGGGAGAACCCAGAACCTCAACACCCAGCAGTCTGGAGCTTCCGTCAAAACCAACAGCCTTCTCTCCTCAGGTGGGCGTGGGAGTGACAAAAACAAAGGGAGGCGATATGAGTCACCCAAACCTCATGTACCCATGAAAAAAACAAAACATTATCTCTGAGATTAACAGTCCTTAAATCTCTCAAAGTATTTGAAATCTGATGGTGACAGAGAGTCAATGCTAACAGAAATGAACCAAAAAGATCCAATTCTGTTAAAAGCCAAATATGTCTTCTTGTGGACTTAATTAGGACACTTATTTTTTAGTAAGATAGATGTGATGAAACTAAAGGCATAACTATCACCACTGTTCCTGCTTGGCTTTCATGAAAAAAAAAAATTATCAATCAATCTATCTATCTATCTATCTATCTATATCTATATGTCTATATATCTATATCTATATCTATATCTATATCTATATCTATATCTATATCTATATCTATATCTATATCTAATCATCTTTCCCCGAAGGATTTCAAAATACTTTTCTTCAATCCTGTGTATGGGGAAAATTTCCAGGAAAAGTATCCACATTTAATAAATCTATACTATAAACTAAGTTGAAGAAAGATTAAACCACTTGTAAAAATAAGATACTAAGACAAAGAATACCAGGATCAGAAGTCACCAAATGCCCAGTAATCACCAGTAATCATCTTGTTATTTTCTAAGATGTGAGTTTCAAAGCATAGGGATAAATTCTATTTGGTACAATTAATTATATATATGTTACTTAAAAATATATATATTTGATGCAACAAGGAGTTAGCCACATAGTGCTTACAGAAAACACATACACACATAAAAGCATTATTATGTTTAGATTGTAATTAGTAATTATACCTGAAGCATTAGAAAATGACCCCTTCAGATTTTGTACTGCGAGATTATCGGAAGCTTCTCTAAAAACAACCAAAACAAAAAAAAGAAAACAGTCAATAAGTCAAAGGCAACACAGATTACTTATAGTGAGCTATACTTAGAGTGAATCATTTTTTTAATTCAATATAAAAATATTTCATAAGTATTGGTTATTAGTGAAGGAAAAACAAAAACAACTAATTTGCACTTAATTATGCTTTTAGTCAAGAGCAGGTAAAAATTATAAAGGATGTCATTTCAAATTAACAAATGCCTAAAGACAACATTCTGATCTATTCAGCTGTTTGAAATCCTGGCTCAATATAAGAAGCTAATTTCAATGAAATGTAATGGGTGTTCTTTCCGTTTCCCTCACAATACAAGGAAACATTAGCACAGGCAGGCCCCTCCTTCATTATGGCAGCAACCTTGGCTGTCACCCACAGAACATTTAGTAAATAAGGAGATTCTTTCAAAAGCTGTGAATGGATGTTCTTTCAAAGACTTTCTAGCCTTTGAGAGACACAATAGCATTCTATCTTGGGAAATAATCATTGGGAGGAAAGATTTTAAACCTTTCCTGCTAAAACTAAATCCCATCTGGCCGATTAAGTGTCTTAATAGTATTCATGTACTCATTATTAATTAGTTGACTTTTTGTTTTCTCTTCTAAATCTCTGTCTTTGATTTGGATCTGCAGCCCTTAATACCTGGTGACTTCAAAAACATATTCCCTTGGAAAAAGCCTGATGATGAATTTATGGAAGCTAGGTGCAGATGGGAGGGGGCAGAGCCAGGGAGGGAGAAGAGAGCAAAACATTAATTTTTTAAAATATATTTTTATTGATTTCAGAGAGGAAGGGAGAGGGAGAGAGAAAAACATCAATGATGAGAGATTGATCGGCTGCCTCCTGCAAGCCCCCTACTGGGGATTGAGCCTGCAACATAGGCATGTGCCCTTGACCAGAATTGAACCTGGGACCCTTCAGTCTGCAGGCCGACACTCTATCCACTGAGCCAAACTGGTCAGGACAAAAACATTTATTTTATATTACCCAGGATTTCTGTCTTGACACTATTAACATTTTGAGCCACATAATTCTTTGTTGGGGGTGGGTGGTCAGTCCTGTGCACTGTAGAATGTTCAGTGGCGTGCCTGGTCTCTACTAGATACCAGTAGCATTTAATTTTTAAATTAAATTTATTAGGGTGACATTGGTCAACATGAACTGTCACCCATCACTGTCACCCACATGAACTATCACCCACCACTCAGGTGTGGGTTTCTGTGTTATAAGATCTCTATATTGCACCATGTGCCCACCACCCAAAGTCACCTTATATTAGGACCCCCGCTCCCCCAACTCCCTTCCCTCTGGCAACCGCCACATGCTGTTTGTGTTCATGAGTTTCAGTTTTATATCCCACATATGAGTGAAATCATATGGTTCTTAACTTTTTCTGTCTGACTTATTTCACTTAGCATAATGTTCTCAATGTCCATCCATGTTGTTGCAAATGGTGCTATTCCATCCTTTCTCATGGCTGAGTAATATTCCATTGTGTATATGTACCACATCTTTATCCAGTCCTCTACCGCAGGACACTTTGGTTGTTTCCATGTCTTGTGCACCATGAATAATGCCGCAGTGAACATAAGGGTGCATATATTTTTTTGAATACATGATTTTGAGTTTTTCGGGCATATACCCAGGGGTGAAATTGGTGGGTCATATGGTAGCTCTATTCTTAATTTTTTGAAGAATTGCCAGACTGCTTTCCATAGAGGTTGTACCAGTCTACATTCACACCAGCAGTGAATGAGGGTTCCCTTTTTTCCAAAACCTCTCCAACACTTGTTATTGCTTGTCTTGTTGATAATGGCCACTCTAACAGGGTGGTATCTCACTGTAGTTTTGATTTGCATTTCCCTAATTTCCAGTGAGGTTGAACATCTTTTCATATTGGCTGTTTGTATGTCTTCTTGAGAGAGATGTATTTTCAGGTTCTCTGCCCACTTTTTGATTGGTTTGTTTTTTTGGTGCTGAGTTCTTTATATATATTTTTAAATTAAACCTCTGTTGGAGCTACAATTTGCAAATATCATCTCCCATCTGGTTGGCTGCCTGTTTGTTTTGTTGCCAGTTTCTTTTGCAGTGCAGAAGCTTTTTAGTTTGATATAGTCCCATTCATTTATTTTTGTCTTTACTTCCCTTACCTTTGGAGTCAAGTTCATAAAATGTTCTCTATGACCCAGGTCCATAAGTTTGGTACCTATATTTTTTCTATGTAACTTACTGTTTCAGGTCTGATGTTTAGGTCTTTGATCCATTTTGAATTAATTTTTGCACATGGGGACAAACTGTAATCCAGTTTTATTCGTTTGCATGTGGCTTGCCATTTTTCCCAGCACCATTTATTGAAGAGACTATCTTTACTTGCTTTGGCTATTCGGGGTCTTTTGTGATTCTATACAAATCTGATGGTTTCTTGTTTTATTTATTTAAAAAATGTCACTGGGATTTTGATGGGGATTGCATTAAATTTGTATATTGCTTTGGGTAATATGGTCATTTTTAACTATGTTGATTCTCCCAATCCATGAATACGGGATATCTTGAATATATCTGATCTTCATCTTCCTTTGCCAATTCAGACCTTCCCCCCTTCCTCTTGTATGTTTTTGTTGTCACAAGTTATCCCTGTTTACGCTATAAGTTTTGGGGGATCTTACTCGTAGTGTTGTGACATGTTCTTTGTTTCAGGTAGAATAACTTGAGTATTTCCTGCAATGGAGGTTTTTTTGGTGATAAAATCCCTCAGCTTGTAAATGTATGGAAATGTCTTTATTTCCCCTTCATATCTAAAGGATAATTTTGCTGGATATATTATTCGTGGCTGGTAATTTCTCTTTTAGATGTTTGAATATTTAGCTCCACTCTCTTCTGGCTTGTAGTTTCTGCTGAGAAGTCAGATGAAATTCTAATGGGTTTTCCTCTGTAGGTCACTTCCTTTTTTTCCCTGGATGCTTTGAGAATTTTTTCTTTGTCATTAATTTTTGACAGCTTTATCACCAAGTGCCTTGGAGAGGGCCTCTTGGATTGGAGTAACTAGGTGTTCTGTTTGCTTCTTGGACTCAAGGATCTAGTTCTTTCCATAGACTTGGGAAGTTCTCATTCACTATTTGTTTTAATAGACTCTCTAGTCCATGCTTCCTCTCTTCCTCCTCCACTATGCCTATGATTCTGCTATTACTTTTTCTGATTAAGTCAGGGAGTCTCATAGCGCTCTTTCATTTTTCTTTATTCTCAGGTCTCTCTTCTTCCCTCTTAATTCCTATCTTCGATATCACAAGTTCTTTCCTTTAACTGGTTGGTTCTGTTTTCTATGCTCAACAGTTCACTCTTAATCTCCCTAAATTGCCTGCTTCATTTCCAGTATTTCTGATATATTCTTTTTTAAAGTTTCAATTTCCTTGGAGAAATACTCCTTTTGTTCATTCATTTGTTTTCTGAGTGCACTGAATTGCTTGTCAGTACTTTCTCGCATCATTACTGTGGTTCTTCGTGGTATTTGCTGCCCTTCTTTGTTTTTGTTTTTAAAAAAAATATATATTTTATTGATTTTTTACAGAGAGGAAGGGAGAGGGGCAGAGAGAAACATCGATCAGCCGCCTCCCGCACGCCCCCCACTGGGAATGCGCCCGCAACCAAGGCATACGCCCCTGACTAGAACCGAACCCGGGACCCTTCAGTTCGCAGGCCGATGCTCCATACACTGAGCCAAACCGGTCAGGGCTCCCTTCTTTGTTTTCACATTTATCTCTGAAGAGGTCTTTCTACTATGTTACAGTAGATGGCGCTGAATCGAAAGATTTTTACCAGATTTGATCCTCCTTGGCTTCCATAGGACAGTACCTCCATGCTGCTTGGGGGTGGGGTTTGTTATGCCCACACAGTAATGGTGACCCCTGACCTCTGCAGGGTCCCACCCCAAGCACCCTTCCTGGGGTTCAGTCCCAGAGGGAAACAGCGAACCTATTGCAACAGCTCTCGGTTTACAGATAATATGCTCCTGGAGTCGATTTCAAGGGCAGCAGGAGGCGAGTTTTGGGAGTCGAAGCAGTAGCAAGGCTCTGTGGTTTCCTTTCTTTGAAACACCACCGCCCGGCCCAGCAGTGGGGAGCCGCATGGCAGAACCCCATGTTCTCTTTGGGCGTCTGCTGACTCAGTCACTGTTCTTTCTCGTTGCTCATGCTTGTGACTCAAAGGCTGCTCGCTGCTCCTCCCCCCCTCCCGCCCCCCATCCCTCTGTACCTCCAGGCCCAAGGAAGTGCCTGCTACCACCGGCTTTCTCCCCTCT